CTCCTATTGAGATTTATGCCTGTTTACCTGTTTGGCACAGACAAAAAGAACAAACTTTGGGTTTATGATGTTAGTTCCTGTAGAAGAGGCTCATTTACAACTGACACCTAATTGGCTATTTCTAGTTTTGGCTACACAGCTTGTTCTTATTGATACTAAGTAGAATATTTTTATTTATATTATTTGGTTGTAATTTAAATCCACTTCATTTTTTCCCAAATACCCTCTCTCGAGGGCTACTTTTTTTATATAGAGTGTGACACCGTTAAAGCCTTCTTGACTAGTTCTGATGTAAGGATATTAGAGTTCATGTGGATTTTGCTAAATGGCTATACACATACTGTTAAAATAAAACTACGTATTTCATTACAACATATCTTTGAAAACTGTAAAATAGTTTTCAGGCATCAAACTTAATTTGACCTCTTAAAAAACAGCAGAGTTTACTTCAGTTTAAAAGTAAAGCCTTAACGTTTCTTACACTAAGGACCATTCTATTTGAATTAAAGAGTAAAATATTAAAACTAGAACAATGAAAAAAGAAAAAAGTTAAAATTTTTGTGAAATCTGGATAGGACTGGATTTGAAAAACACAAAAACCTTGTAAGTAACCATGAAGGAAAACATATATAGAGTTTACAACATAAATTGAAAGACTGCTGTGAGATAATATCATAAAGAAAATCAAAAGATAAACTACAAACAGAGAAATATATTTAAGGAAGATGCCAGACAAAAATTAGAATACTTTATTACATTAAGATTCCGTATAAAACACTATAGAAATTGTTGAGTCCAAGAAATAATAGGCCAAGGACATGAACAGACTATTTACAAAGAAGAAATGCAATAGCCACTAAATGCAAGAAAAATACTCAATAGTATTATAACTCAGTAAGTACAGTTACGACAATGAGAGAGACATTTTTCAGCTGGGAAAGTAGGTATGATTTTAACAGCAACAACCACAACAATAAATAATAACTAGTATTTTGTTGAGCAGTTAACACATGACAGGCATTACTTTAAGGATTTTATATGATTACATTGTCCCAGTAACATTATGAGGTAGACACTATTAATCTTATTTTGCAGATGAAGAAACTGAGGCATAGTTAAGTTACTTTCCCAAAATCACACAATTAGTAAGTGATAGAATTCATTAGCTGTATAATGAGGGAGGAGAGAAAAAGATATTTTTGTACAATGCAAGTGGGTAGGAAAATTAGTACAGTCTTTCTGGAAAATATTTTGCCAAATGTATTTTGCCAAATACTTTAAAAGACTTAAATATTGATATGCTTTGACTCAGTTCTCAGTGGTATGGGGGAGGGAGAAATCCCCTTTTTAATAGTTCTTTCTTCCCCAGGAGGAGTGAAAATCTGATTGTAACATTCTGGGATATTGATTGGCCCATGTTTACTACTGGGTAGTGTTACTGTGCTTTAAAAGGTCATGCATGTTTCTATTTCCTCTCTTCTTCCTGAGACTAGACTGATAAGTTGGACAAGGTCCCCCTTAAGAACTTGCTCTATTCTCTTGTTTTTGAATGGTGCCTAGGTGTATTCATCATCACTTCGTTATTCTGTATCATATTGCCAGCCAGAAGGTTATATGATGATACAATATGGATTTAAGCTGTAAGGGAATTTGAGGTCCTTGAAGGGATTTAAAGTAGTACCTTAAGCCAAGCTTATTTGAGCTCTGAACTTGAGTGATATTAAGAAGTAGCCCAACTAAGAAAAGTGGTGCCTAATTTTTCATTATTCCTTGCTTCTTTTGTAGAGCTCTAAGGGAGGAATGTCCAGGATTAGAGTAGTATTGGGTAGAGTAGTATTAGGAGTTCCTCAATCTCGTAGGCCTAATATCATCTAATACCTCCAAACGTTCCCCCAATTTCTAAATCCAATTCTAGGAGCCCATTCTAAATAAATACTCTAAGTTGCAGAGAGTATTCTCAAGAAAATATATTTGTCACATCATATAATAAAATAATGGTTAAAAACAGACATGTAGAACAATGGAACATCATGGAGAGCCCAGAAATAAACCCACACATACACGGTCAACTGATCTTCAACAAGGGTGCCAAGAATACACAAAAGGGAAAGAACAGTCTCTTCAATAAATGGTGTTGGTGGGTCCAGCCCGGTGGCATAGCAGTTAAGTTCATGCATTCTGCTTCGCTGGCCCAGGGTTCGCCGGTTTGGATACTGGGCCGCACCTACTCACTGCTCGTCAAGCCATGCGGAGGCAGCGTCCCACATAGAAGAGCTATAACTCTACAACTATGATACACAACTGTGTCCCGGGGCTTTGAGGAGAAAAAGAAAAAGAGGAAGATTGGCAACAGATGTTAGCGCAGGGCCAATCTTTCTCACAAAAAAAAAAATAAAAATGATGTTGAGAAAACTGGGTATCCACATGCAAAAGAGTGAAATTGGACCCTTATTTCACACTACATGTAAAAGTCAACTCAAAGTGGATTAAAGAATTAAACATATGAAACCATAAAATTCCTAGAAGAAAACATAGGGAGAAAGATTCTGGACATTAGTCTTGGCAATGATTTTTTGGAAATGACACAAAAAAATGTAAGCAACAAAATCTAAAATAGGCAGGTGGACTACATCAAACTGAAAAGCTTCTGCACAGAAAAAAAAACAATCAGCAAAATGAAAAGACAATCTATGGAATGGGAGAAATATTTGCAAGCCATATTACTGATAAATACTTAATATCTGAAATATATTAGGAACTCCTACAACTCAATGGCAAAAAAGCAAATGAGCCAATCAAAAAATGGGCAAAGGGACTGAATAAACATTTTTCTACAGAAGACGTACAAATGGACAACAAGTACATGAACAGGTGCTCAACATCACTAATCGTGGAAATGCAAACCAAAAACACCATTGAGATATCATCTCACATATATTAGGATAGACATTGCATATAAAAAAAAGATAGCAAGTGGTGGCAAGGATGTGGAGAAAAGGGAACCTTTGTGCACTGTTGGTGGGAATGTAAATTGGTACAGTCACTATGGAAAACAGTAGAGAGTTTCCTCAAGAAATTAAAAATAGGACTTCCACATGATCTAGAAATCCCATTTCTGGGTATGCATCTAAAGGAATTGAAATCCAGATCTGCACTCCCATATTTATTGTAGCATTATTCACAATAGCCAGGACATGGAAGCAACCTAAACATCCATCAACAGACGAATGGATACAGCAAATGTTGAATATACATGCAATGGAATGTATTCAGCCTTAAACAAGAAGGAAATCCTGCCAATTGTGACAACATGGATGAACCTAGAGGACATTACACTAAGTGAAATAAGCCAGACACAGAAGAGCAAATAATACATGGTATCACTTATATGAGGAATCTAAAATAGTCAAACTCATGGAAGCAGAGAATGGTGTGGTGGTTCCTGGGGGCTGGGGCAAGGAGGAAATAGGGAGGTATTACAGGGTACTAAGTTTTATTCATGCAAGATAAATAAGTCCTAGAGATGCACTGTATGACCTAATGCCTATAGTTAACAATACTGCATTGTATACTTAAAATTTTGCTAAGAGAGTAGATCTTAAATTAAGCAGTCATCATATACACACACAAAAAAAATAATAGCAAATAAGAGGAAGAGAGGAATCTTTTGGAAGTGATGGATATGTATATGGCATAGATTTTAGGGATGGTTTCACAGTGTATGCTTATGCCCAAACTTATCAAGTTGTGTACAATAAGTATGAAAAACTTTTTGTATGTCAATCATTCCTCAATAAAGTGGTTTAAAAAATGGAAATAATATAAGTAGCCAACATTAGAGGATTAGGTAAATTATACTTCCATGTTATGGAATACTATACTATGCAATCATTTAAATGATGTTTTGGAAGAGATTTAACTGACAGTGAAAATATTTTTTATATAGCGTTAATTGAAAAATATGGGACTTAAAATTTTATACATAGTGTGCTTTCAATAGATGTAACTGGAATAGTGAAAGGGGGTGCGATGTGAGCAAAATATCAATAACATATGGGCACAATATCTATTTATCTGGCTGTAAGTCAAGTTACTAAAATTAGTGAAACATTCTCCCTATTCAAAGAACCACTTCCTCTCCCACAATTATTTCTGAAATTCCACAGGGAATAACTTATCTGTTCTCAGCGCTTTCAGCCCCAAAGTAATGTCTATCGTTTTCTCTTTCCCCTTCTCTTGTTGTCTGGGCATTATTTGAACAGTACTGTTTCCTCTGCACCTACAGATAGTGATTATTAATATCATTAATAATAATAATGACAATCATCTTCCATTGGTTCTTACCAAAAGTGGTTTTGCTAATGCCTTAGGAGCCAATGCTAATGTATGTTTTCAAAATGCACAGAAAAGTCTGAAAGAAGAAAATTTCTAAAATGTTGAGGGTAGTTGACTCTGGGTACTGGAATTATGGATGGGCTATTTTTCTTTTCTAATGTTTTGGTGCTTTAAAGTTGTTCTTTGAAAGGCCATATATTGCCAACATAGGAAAAATATAAAACTAGGAAAATCTAAACAGCACTTAACTGAGGATAATTTAAACTAGTCACTTTGTTACTTGTACTTTCAGTCTTGATAAAGTAACTGGAATCGGACTAGCCGTCTTGCTAGAAGCAAATATAAAACAAAATATGGAACAACCATTTTCAGACATTAGACAAGAGTCAACTCAGAAAGTAAGCCCATATATCAAGGAAACAAACAAGGTGAGCCCCATGATCACAGTAGCTTTATGCCTGGAGGCACTCTCAGGACTGTGGTCCATGGAATTGGAGCCTAAGCAGGGGATGATGGCCTTGCCAAGCTGAGGAGACAGAGACCCATGACTGATAGTGCCAAAGCATTTGGAAATTGTGAAAGAGAATATCAGAAAGGAAGTAGCTACACAGTAAAGGGGCTCCATGAATCTGTCTGAGTTTTGGCTGAATACTAAGCTGTGCATGCACAGGATAAGACTGTGCAAGCTCCCCCACCCACCCCCCACAAAGCAACTGTTAGGGAGCTCAGGTAAAGCTGCAAGATTTTGGGATTCCAGCCAGAGTGGAGAAGCTTCACTGAAAACTCCTGGCACTAAGTTGCTACCTGAGAGAGGACAGATCTTAGGAGGAAGGCTGGGATGAATTAAGGATGCATATTGTAACACATAGCATAACCACTAACATATAAAACAAGAGTTATAGCTAAAAATCAAATATAAACTGGAATAATAAAAAAAAACTCAATTAAAAAGAAGGCAAGAAAAATGAAAAGAAAAAAGAATAGATGGGAAAAATAGAAAGCAAATAACAAGATGTTAGACTTAAACCCAGTTGTATCCATAATTACATGAAAAGTAAATGAATGAAACTGTCTAATGAAAAGGAGATTGTCAATGGTGAAAAAAAGGAAGACCTAAAAACATTTTCTCTACAACAGATACATTTTAAATATAACACCACGGTTGAGTGAAAGTAAAAGGATGGAAAAAATATACCATGCAAACACTAGTCATAAGAAAACTGGAATGACTATACCAATATCAGACAAGGTAAACTTCAATATAAGGAGTATTTCCAGAAATAAGGAGAGACATTTTGTATGATAAAAGTGTCATTCATCATAAACACAAAACTATACTTAATATGAATGCACACAGTAATGGACCTTCAAAGTACTTAAAGAAAAGCTGACAGAACTAAAAGAATAATGAGAAAAATCCACAGATATAGTTGGATATTTCAACACTTCTGATGATAGAACAGAGAGAAGATCAGTGAGGATATAGATGACTTGGAGGACACTAACAACCAACTTGACCTAATGGATATTTATAGAACTCTCCACCCACCAAGTCCAGAATATATGTTCTTTTCCAATGCAAAAGGAACATTTACTAAAGACAGACTATATATGCCAGGCAATAAGTCAAATATCAATCACACAGGATTGAAATCATATAGAACATATTCTCTGACCATAACAGAATTAAAGTATAAATCGGTACTAACAAAAGGACAACTGGAAAATCCTCAAGTATTTGGCAATTAACATTCTCCAAAATAACTCATGGATCAAAGAGGAAATCAAGTGAAATTATAAAGTATTTTAAACTGAATAATAATGAAAATATCAACATATTAACAAATTGAAATTCATTTGAACTTTCAAAGAATGGTAATTATTTCATTTACCTGGTTCATAGAGAAAAAGGGAAAAGTCAGTTAATTTCTAAGAAGTGGGCATAAAACCAATTCCCGTGAGATAGATACAAAGTCTACATAAAATAAAAACATAGATTACAACAGTATTCAAAATGAATAAAGCATAATGATCAAGTGAATTCTTTCCAAGAATGCTTAGATAGATCAAAATTAGTAAATTTATTAAAACAATTCTTCATATTAACAGATCAATCAAAATGGGAAAAAATAATCTCAGTAGATGCTGCAAAAGACATTTGATAAAGTTCATTTTTCATTCCTGATAAGCACTTTTAGTAAAATAGGAACTTAGGTGTACTTCCTTTTAGAAGCAATTGTTATATACTTCTGTCTTGTGATGGTATATATTATTTGAAATCAAAAGCTAGCATCATGCTTAATAGTGATATATTAGAAACATTTGCATTAAATTCTGGGTTAGAAAAATGTGTCTTTGTTTCCAAAGAGTTAGTTAATGTGATAAAAATTAGAAATAGAAACTAGAAATGAGAGGTATAGTTATTGGAAAGAAAAAGGCAAATTTATCATTATTTGTAGATGATTTTATTTTCTGTCTGGAAATCGTAATAAAATCTAGTGAAAACTGATTAGAAATGATGAGAAGTCTGTAAACAGACTAGTTTTCTATACATATTTTTTCCTATATATTAATGAGAACTAATTAGAAAATTAATTAAAAGTAGATACAATTCGTAACAGCAACCTCTCCCAAATATTTAGGTGTGAATTTAACAGACTATGTTCAGAAACAATACAGGACAAAAATCCTTCATGCATTGCTGAGGAACATAGAAGTAAATAGGAATAAATGGAGATTCAACTTTTTAAATTTAAATTTTGTAAATGGGACATTTAAATATTATAAAGGTGTCATTTCTTCCCAAATCATTGATTCTCATATATTAATGTTCCTTATAATTCTTTTTTTTTTCTTTTGCTGAGGAAGATTAGTCCTAAGCTAACACCTGCTGCCAGTCTTCCTCTTTTTTTTTTTTCGTATGTGAGCTGCCACCACAGCATGGCCATTGACAGACAAGTGGTGTAGGTCCATGCCTGGGAACTGAACCTGGGCTGCTGAAGCAAAGCATGCTGACTTAACCACTAGGGCACTGGGGCTGGCCCAATATAATTCTCTTTGTAAGTTTGTTGAAAATAAATATTTCTGGGCTCTAAAGATTTTCAGTAGATTTGTTGTTGAACAAAGAAATTTACCTTTTTAACAAGTTTACCGGATGATTTTGATATGATTATTCCATGGACTATATTTTGAGAAACATTGCCCAGTAACAATGTAAAAATCAAATGCAATTATAATCAAAATCCATAAGCAATTTCTGATGGGAAATTTAACGAGATAACTCTGATATGGCCTTTCCAGATACCTTCCCTTAATGACTCTGTCTCACATGCACACAACTGCATCCATGGGGATTATTCCTTGTCACACACACACCCCACCTGCTACATAGACCTACTCATTCAGCTTACAAACAATATCTCACACAAACACGCCGATGTCCACACGTCCCAGATATACTCACATACGTATTTCACATTCTTATATACATACCCTCATGGCCACTTAATCTTTCACGACAACAAAAGGAGTCACAGAGTAGGTACTGAGCCACTTGGATACTGACCGAGGCTGGGTCATCTGGGAACCCACC